GACATGCCTGTTGAGAGCCAAAAAGGATACAAAGTCTGAAGTCGGAATGACAACCTTCCAAATTACAACCTTCCATTTGCTTCAGAATATCTTTTTCTGTTGGTTTTAAAGGGAATCGATTTCACGACTGGACATATTTTTTGCTTCCAGGGTCTTAAAGTAACCAAATGGAAGCAACGCATTTCGGGTTGGGTTGTTTTTTTCTCTTTTTTTTTCTTTTTCTTGCTTCATCTCTTGGGCCCGTCAAAGTCCAGTTGCCCTTCTGAAAGCCATGCTTTCAGAGTACATGTGGGGAACCCTGGCTGGGTGGATGTGCTTGTTGTTTTTCTTTTTTTGTTCGAATGGTCCCTATGTCTCCATCAGGCCCTTGCAAGTTGACCTTTAAACCTTAGACCATGCATGCCGCGTGCCTCGCATGGTCTACGCTGGTGACCTTTTTGCCCACTTGCGTTGAATGCCAGGAAGCCCGCCCCCCCAAGGTCCCATTTCAAGGGTACGCTCAATCGGTTTTGATTTTATGTGGTTGAAGCATCTACGTATACGGAGCCCTTCTTTGTGAAGGGGACACTGTGGGGGAGCCAGCCCCTGGTTCAAAAAGAGCAGGGCGCAATCCAATTCAAACAGAGGGAAGACAGATACATCTTCGGGGGAACCCCTATTTAGGATGATCAATCTGCGGGTATGCCCTCCTGGTTGCGCATCCCAGAGGCACGTAGCTTTGTTAAGGCGACCTTAGTAGACAAATGAAATCCAAGGATGCATTTCATGGTATTTCTCTTGGAGGTAGGCCAGTATTTCTGACCCCGCTTGTCAGGACCCATGAATCAAAGAATGACAGCATCACAGGTTCCGGTTTGAATGCGTTGCTTTACTCCCGAGTGGGGCCAAGGAAGGGGTTTCCAGCAACTAGGCAAAGACTTTCTCGAGAGAGGCGGCCGTATGCGGCGGATTGCGGCGGTCTGATTTTTTTCAGCCCGCAGCTCCCCCAGAGAATGTGCTGAATGTGGTGTTTTGTTTTGTTTTGGTGGCCTTCTGTTCGGTTGCTTTATTCGCTCTGTGGATTTTGACTGCCAACAAAGAGGTTTACATTCGCCCACGAATGTATTCCCTTGAGGGTTCCCCCCCTTTCCCCCAAGCCAACAACTCGAACATATATTGAGATTTCCGTTCCCAGCCAAGCATGAGAATTGCTTTCTACATGGTGGGCACGTTTCAATCATGAACCATGTGGGTTCCAATCACGTGGTTTGGTTTATACATGTGGGTATCAATGATGACACACTTCAATCCTTCCCCAGAAGTAGCTCCCTTTTGTTCGCTTTCTTGGGGTCCCTTTTGTTTTCCAAGGGCCAGGCCACCAAAAGAGATCTCTCTCATTTTCTCCCAAGGGCTCCGAATTCGCGGGCCTAGAACCACCGCCTTTTCGGCTCGCTCCCAAGCGCCTCTCTCAGGGGTCTGAAGCTGCGGGGCTCGGAGAGAGAGCCGGAGCCGGACGCGGCGGACTGATTGGTCGATCCCTGGAACCCGTTTTTCGCTTCCCGTCCGAAGGCTTTCCCTCGCATGGAAGCGGACCGGTTCCCAGAAAGGAACACGGTCGTCCAAAATCCTGTCGGCTTCATGATGGTTGAGAAGTTTGTTGTCTAAAAAACACGTGCGATGTAGCCGCTACAGTTTTTCTTTGGGTTCTGCTTTCAACCCGGAGCCTTCGAAAGATGCACCTAAGGCCGCGCCACTTTTGGGAGGATCTTTGTATTGAGGGGCTGGTAGATAACCCTGACCGGGTGGGGTGGGGGGTGGGTGGGAAATTCTTTGGGCCTAAGTTGCGGGTATCGAAGAAATATTGACGCATTCCATGTATCATATCGGAGGACTTGTGAATGCAACAGCTGATGACTCCAAATGTTGGACTCCTTTTCTTCAGAACCACACGAAACCCAAGATTAGTGCGCCATTTTTTAGGGGACCGGCAACAAACTTGGTGTCTCTTTGTCAAAAGGCCCGGATGGATCTGCTGAAACGAGCTGAGTGTCCTTTGCTTGGAGTCCCTGATATTCGTCTCAATGTTTCTGTGCAGATGGTCTTCGTTTGTGTATCTGAACATGGAGTCTCTTTGCCCCAGAGTCCTGCTTCAAGTTTAGGAAACTGCCACGCGCAACTAGCCTGCGCGCCCTTGTCTGTGTTTTTAGGTTTCCTTCATTCTCTCTGTCAACTCTGTCAACAGCAAAACGAGCACAGGCCGTTTTCATGGGGTCTAAATCTGGCCCAGTAAAGACGGAACAAGTTAATTCTTCTCTTTTCTGGACAGTCAGCTCAAAGAGTATATGAACACCAATCTTCCATTTGCTTAAGAACGTATTGTACACATATGAATCAATATATATATATATATAGATTTTTTCCTGTTGGTTTTCAAGGGAATGGACTTCACCGGGCATATTGTCTCTACCTTTTCCGGGGACGAAGAAGGAGATGGGGATCAAGTTTCTCGCGCCATGGACACCTCTCGCCCCGCGGGTCCGAAAGCGAGAGACGGCCAAATCTCACCGCTGCTCGTTCCCGGTGGCCCCCTCAACTTTTGCTTTTGTTGGAAGACGGTTTTGGCAAAAAAGGCTGGGTGACCTTTTTTGGCCAAGCTCAAGTGAGGCTTCATGAAGGGCGGGGTTTGTTAGAATTTTGCCCTTGGCCAAGGAAATTCTAGAAACGCTTTGGATGTGGCTACTCTGTGGATCCACCCCCGTAGGATATTAAAAGAGTACCAAAAAAGAGTACAAGTAAAAAGGCCAACAGGGAAGAACAGGTGAAATCCACAAAAGGCACATCCAGACCGTTTTCCAGAGTAAAATGTATCTTGTGAATGAGAAATCCAGGGACCGCGAAGGTCGCTTGCCCGTGATTACTGCGGAATACCTCGTTTTCGACTGGTCCCCTCGCAACAAAAGCATGCCTTCGCCGTAATGCCGGGGCTCACCGATTTGGGGGAGAGACAATACGCCCTGCATGTTCTTTGCCTCCCGAAACAAATCCCAGGTGTTGGAATCATGGTAAAATATTTTTGTGGATGGGTTGACTATGGCTTCACTGTTCTTGGCATGTTTTTTGCTTTTTTAGTTTTTTGGTTCTGTTCATTTTTCGGGTCTGCAAAAAACACAGTTTTTCGCTACCCTACCAAGAGTAGAGATGATGGCCAATGGAGACGCGTTCCTTTCGCCAAGGCCGCTGGGCAGCTAAGACCCGGAGCGAGTTCTGCGCTTCGCGCGGCCACGGTCGAAACCTGCGCTGGAAAGGTGCTATTTTACAAGCTTTTTTTGGGGAGTTTTTTTTTTGTGTGTGTCCAAAATAAATAGACTACATAAACAAGTTGGTACCCTTATTCTAACTTCTCTACTGGAGGACCTAGTTGTACTTGGGTAGGTGAAGGGTTGGATCAAAGAGTGGGGATAATGAAAAGGGTTGAAAGAGTCCAGGAGGATTGGATGCAACAGTAAAACTTGGGGTACAAAGGCGTGGATAAACTTGTTCGCCTCCGGTTTTACTTGGGTAGATGAAGGTAGGATCATCTAGGGTCCCGACAGTTTTTGAAGTGCGGATCTCTTGGCACCCCACCTCTGGTGGCTTGCCAATGGTGCGGCGGCGAGAGAAAGACAGATATTTGCTCCTGTGACTTTCCTTCCATTTGCACAAGAATATTCTTTATTTTCCCCTGTTGGTTTTAAAGGGAATCTATCACTACTGGAAATATGTTTCATTTTTTCCAGGGGTCTTAACCAAATGGAGTCGGCTTGCCAATGGTGCGGCGCCGAGAGAAAGAGAGATATCTGCTCTTGTGAGTCTTTCCTTCCATTTGCGTAAGAATGAATGTTATTTTCCCCTGTTGGTTTTAAAGGGAAACTATCACTACTGTTTTGTTTTTTCAATTGTTCTTAACCAAATGGAATTGGCGCCCTCCAGTTTTTTTGGCCTACCCTTAAGTCTTTTTTGCCAAGTTGATCGTAGACTCCTTTAACGCCAGGTTTCGATTACCCGCATGCTGGCCGACCGCTGTCGGGCGCATCCCTCGCAAAAAAAACTCACCGAGCGTGATTTGCGTGGCGCTCGACCGGGGGAGGGGGTGCCAAGGCCGAGGTTCGTCGGTTGATTTCCAAAGCATCAAGCGCGCCAGCCATTGGGATGGACATCCCTTGTCAGAGCTCGATTCCACCCCTGTTTTTCGTTTTGCTTTGGCGGGTGCCCACTCAAAATCGTCAAGCCCAAAGAAAGGTTCCCTGAGTCAACAATGCCTGGGCAACCTGGGGCTAGCAGGGGCAGCTATGTTCTTGTTTGGTGGTCTTCTCTGTCAACCTGATACGGCCCACACAACTCTTCTCGCCTCCGTCCGCGAGAGAGTCTCCGGCCACGTTAGCAAGCCTACTTACAAGTCCCACCAAGTAGAGTGTCATTTGTTGGCGGGTTGTGACCCCAATGGCCAATCACATCCTAATCCTTTCAGTTCCAACCTTGCAAGCTTGTTTGGGATCCTGGAAAAGACCGTTTTCAGGACAGGCCAAAGCGGCTTTAGACCATTCTTTTAAAAAGGGAATTGGAGTTGACACAGTGGTTTTATGCGGTTTTGCACCTAAGGCCACTGAGCATTTGCCCGCAGCATGCGTTTTTGTTTGTTTGTTTGGAATGCGCGAGCCCAATGAGAATGCATTCCCAAACCCAATCAGAGTTCTAGCAGGGCGGTTGCGGCTGGGAATATGAGATTCTGTTGGAATATCAGTGGACAGTCAATTTTGCAGGTACCTTTGGGGCACTCACCGAATGTCCCACAACTCACCCAGCCAGTGGACACACTTTACACCTTTTTTTTTCCTGGTGGTGGCCCAAAAAGTGTCGACTTTTTTGGGCCGGTCACTCGCCAGGTGAGACAACAAAATGCAGGGTCTCAGGGCTTTCCCCACATCTTCACCGGAACCAAAGGCAAATTCTGTCGCGTCTCATATGCCCCGTGGGCTCAAACGAGATGGGCGTGGCCGACGCCTCTCAATGGGCAAAGGGCTCAGTGCGCGCGGGGGCGTTGGCTGTTGGTTTCTGCCGGGGTTGCCCATGGATGCCAGGTGTCCATAGCCACTGGCTCAAAACCGATTCGGGTAAGTGAAGGTTAGGTTGCCATAAATAGCCGCGGATCTCCGCCTTCTCTTATTGCCTGAAGCATGGTTCTGGGTCGACCATCTTAATGCCGAGCTTTGACTCTGACTCACCTGATTTTCTGGACGCACATGGTTTGGTTTCGAGCATTGCTCGGGTTCGACCAGTGACTGTAGCACATCGCCACCAAAGAGCGGTCCCTTCAGGACCTCGGTTGGAGCCGGAGGGGCGCAAAAACGCCCAACCTCTTCCTAAAAATGGAAGTATTCACAGGCAAGGCCTTTTTCTGGTGTTTCGATGCTTCCCCACTCGGATTTTTTGAGAGGGAGGTGACCTCATTTCTCACGAGCTTGGGCGAATTTGGTTCGCAGTTGTGGGAAGCGGTTCCCTGGTTCAGCGCGTGGCAGCCGAAGCTCTCGCGCGAGGCTGGCCATGCCGGGCTTCTCCCGGGCGCGGGGGCCTGGTGTGGCCTCCTTTTTGGAAGCTCCACACATGGGGCGCCGATCCGGTCGGTCAACGAGGGAAACCACTGGTGAATTCATGCCACTTCAAACGGCGAGGTAGAACCTCAGTGCTGAAATGCGTTTTCAAGTGTAGAGGCTTTTACCTTCCCAGATTTTCATCAACCGGTGGTCAATGACTCCCCACATGTTTGCCAGGGAGAAGCACCCCCCCTATCAATACAGTTGGTTGAGAAATACTTGGGGTCAACGTGTTGCAATTGAGGGGAATTCCAGTGACCCCTTTTTGTAACAGCGCGATTTGTTTGTTTCGGTTTTGTGGCGTGACGCCCTCGCCCGGAGATCCCTCGCTGGCACCGAAGTCTGCCAATCCGGGCTCAAGTTAAGAACTAGGTCCCCCAGTAGTGCCCTTTTACCCTTTTTTGGGGGCAGGGTTCCCCTACTAAAATAGACTCCATAAAAAGTTGGTATCCTGATTTTAACCTCTCTACTGGAGGACCTAGAGAAGTTTCAGGGCAATTTACCCTTCCTCCCACGAGCACGGCACCTGTGAGGTACTTGGAAGATGAATTTCTTTTTGAAGGGGTCCTGTCAAGTGCCACGTTAGTTGGAGGGAAGGTAAAACGGAATGACCACCCTGAACCTCTTAGCGGAGCCTGTTCAATACGCTCAAGCAAGTTTTGCGCTTCAGAACCCTGGAATTCCATGTGCCTTCCTCCCTCTATAGGTGATCAATGGGTTAGTGGGACTTGCCCCACCCTGTTTTCTGCAAGGTTTATTTGTTGCGCTGGCAAACTTGACTTCTTGAGAAGCTTCTTCATTGTTTAGACCTCACGGGTCACCGGATGGTTCTCCCCTTGAAAGGGGTTCCCGACTGTGGAACACTATGCCCAGGACCCAAAGAGTCTTCCATGGCACTGACCAAGGCAAATCGCGAGGTCGCCAAAGCCATCGTTACTGGTCAGTGGGTACCAACTTCACTGCTCGTCGACTGTTCTTGGAAAGGTTTCTTCTTCTTTTTTAAGCTTTTTGGTTCCGATCAACTTTTTGGCGCGTGGCAGCGAGAAAACAACCAACATTTTTGGCTCACATGCCCAGGATTCGACAGATGGGTGTGTCTTTTTTCAGAACCCCGCCCCCCCCCCCTCCCCCAAATGGTGGTTTTCGACCCCAAAAACTCTGGCAGATGATTTTTCACGACATGGGCACTCCTCCTACACAACTTGTGTTTTCCTTTCGGTGTCCCTTGAAAACAACCTGAGCACGTCACAAAAGCGACTCACCCAAGCAAGTCGTCAGGGTTGTTGCCCTTGCACACTTTCATGCGCACCACCTTCCGACGGCCTGAATGGGGCTCTTGGCACCCCACCTCTGGACGGCGTACTGTACCGAGGGTGCGGCAGAGGGGGAGAGCCACACTTACTTTCATTTGCTGAAAGGAATATTTTGTTCATTTCCCCTGTTTGGTTTTAAAGGGAATCTATCACTACTGGACATATCTTTAGTTTTTCCAGGGGTCGAAGAACCAAATAGAAGGTTTCCTTTCAAACCCCACCAGCCCAACCCGAGGTGTCTCCTAGGAGGGCAAACGCTTCGGCACAACGGTTGCGCGCAGGGGTCTGAACCAACCAAATGGCTGTGGGTCAAAAATAGGTACCCAGAATGGCTTGCCCTGGTAAATGGAAACATGGACATTTCAACCTGCGGACTCCTCGACGTCTTTTCTTTCTTTTTCGGCCGCGAGGAGCTCGAGGCGCGGCCCTTGGCAGTGCGCATCTCTGAGGCTGGGTCCTCGTGGCTGTCTTTGGGACCCCCCAAATATATACTTCCCCAGAGTTAGCTCCCCTTTTTGTTTTTTGGCTTTTTTGGGCTCCCTTTGTTTTCCACTAACCAGGCAAACAATATTATTATTTTTTGCTGGGGTCCTAATTCCAGCCTATATGTATATATTTGAGGATTATTTCCTCTTCACCCCCCCCCCCCCCAAAAAAAAAAGAACAAAGAAACAAAAAAGAAAACAAACGGAAAAAAAAAGTATCCCGAAAAAGATACATGTCTGTGGAATGTTAGGCCGGTCGCTATAGGGTTCAGGTAGTGCCCAGGCTGTACCAATTCCGGGACGTTTGGTGGGGCTCTCTTCCTGCATACTGGGATAGGTTTGGGAAAGACATATGTTCGTGCAAGGTTCCCCTTGCTGTGCTCAGTGAGCGACCATGTATCATATACCCTTTTGCCAATGAAGCGGGCAGGGGGCTTCCAAAATCCGCCTGTCAGCTTCCCCGAATGGAAGGCGGGCACCTTCTTTGGGCCCCAGGGCGGCATTCACAAGTTGAGACCTTTATGTGCGTTCACCAGAGGCTCCGGCATACCGGCAGACCATGGGAAGAGTTTTGAGAAGGGGCAGCGAGCGCCGTGTGGGCACCTCCCCAAACTTTGCCCTGCTCGGCAAGCCCGCGCAGCTTCTTCCCATTTTTTGGCGCGGGACTTTTTAAATGTCCATCCGTGTTCGAGAGCCGGCGCCGAAGCCATAGCGGCAACTGCTGCTCCCAAACATCTGAGAATATGTTGTTTCTTCTTGTTTTCTTTTTTTGTTTGTTGCTATCTTTCCAGTTTCCCTTCCGCCAGCTGAAAAGCGGGGACAGAAGGCTTGGCTTGGGGGTCTCTTGGAGGTTTTTGGCGTCACGGTAACATTTTGCGCTGGGGGACCGACCGGCCCGGAACTGGTGCGCGCGGCCGCTGTTTTTTTTTTTTTTGTGGGGGGGGGGGGCGCACAGCGGGGATTTCTGGGCCAAGGCGGCAATGAGCCAATGCATGCCGCGCAGAAATCAACCAATCCGACTGGAGGTCTCATCCATGCCCACTGAAAGGGAACACCTTCCAAGAATCAACCAAGAGGCTTATTAGTCCGAGGTTGACATTAACCAACCCCCATCAAGCACTGTTGTTAGTGGGCCTTTAGCCTCTTAATTAATGTTGACCCCCGCAAAAGTCAGCCTCGTTTTTTTAGTATGGGGGTGCTCCAAAAGTGATGGTTGATTAGTATGGGGTCAACATTCGAAACATGGAGCCTAACAGATCCCCAGAAAGTCGTCTGCCAGGGCCCCACCCCACCCCTCGGGCAGTCGTTGCAACGTCAGGCCGGAAGAAAAGCGCTGAAAGCGCAGGCGAGAGAGGGCGATTCGTCCGGTGCCAAGCCATATGTTCCTTTCAAACCTCCCATTTGCTCAAGGGAATCTATCACTAGAGATAATTTTTCCAGGGGTCTTAACCAAATGGAAGAACACACATCGCCATCCGTGAAAGCAGTTGCTTTGCCTACTCATGGCGAACAGGAGATGATGCCGGATAATTACATAGTCGATTCCTTGGCGGAGACGCTTGCAACCGAAACGAAGCATGGTACATGGGGGTGGCGGAAACAAACAAAATAACAATCTTCCATGGCGTCCCATCTTGCAAGAAAAAGCCGTATTTAGGTTTTGAGGCACATGTCTCTGCCCTCTGCAAGGCCGCGCACCCAGAACTCCCCGGAACAAAAAACCCGCGCCCGCGCAGGCTAGATTTCCAGCCCAGGTGCAGGCGCGAATGTCGCAACTTGGGGACGCCGACCGAGCAGTGGCAATCATAATTCCGGACAACTATGCAGTGCCCAAAAGATATTGCAGAGTAGGGGGACGGGAGAAGCAGGAGAACAGCTTTAGTTCACCTTTTGCCGGATCGCGATGTGTAGGGCTTCGTAACCACCTGCGAGTGAAAAATCAAGCTGACAGGTTCCCTGTAAGCCCCCTTGTAAGTTAATTTGTTATGGAAACCCGCAGGACCACACAATCTTCTCAACACCTCAGTAAGGCCTAACCCTTGGAGAAAAAGCAGCTTCCGTGCCTGTTGGGATTGGTGGATGGTCCCAACTGTAGGGTGCCGTTTTGTTTTTCTTTCTTTTTTTTTGTGGAGTAGCAAGCGCAAAAGAAAGGCCTGAAAGATGGGAGAAGGCGGCACCAAATATGCAATTTGTAGGGGGAGGAGGGGACCGCAAGGTGGCGGGCCGTGAGCTGCTATGAGCCTTCCGTCACGCGACTGCCGACGTGACTTGCCAGCCAGAGTGATTCCCGGTCGCCCTTCTTTCTCAAATTTTCTCAGCGACTGGACAATGGACAATGCGTTTGGGGGAAAAGGGGGGGGGGGCCTGTGCGGGAGAGTCCCATGTTGAACATTCTCCTTCCCACCAACATGGCGCCTGGAGGGTACCTGGAAGAATTCATGTGAGGTGCCATGGAAACGTGGGAGGAAGGGCTCATGAAGTGTTTTGGACGCGAACAGCTATTGCGATCGACTTCTCTGGACATGTCTTCGCCTCTTTTCCCAGGCGAGAAAGCAGCTGGAAGCTGGAAGTGAATCGCTGGTTTGGATTGGGGGAATTTCGGGTCCCTGGTTGAGGGATGAGAAACTCTTGGGCTCCAAACCACCGGGCTCCGAATGCACCAATCCAAACCAACCCAAGCCACCAATGAGGGGGTGAACCTGGAGTCCCTCTCAAGAAATCGAGGAAACAAAGGAAAAACACAGAAGAAAGAAAACCTCCAAACCCTCCAAACCACCAACTAAAAGGAAGCCCAACCAAAAACCAAATGACCGACCACGACCACCCACAAGCACAACCAACCACAATGAACCACAACCAGCAACCAACCCACCAACGGCAACCAACCAAACCGCGTGGCTTTTTTCTCCAAACGCAGGCTGCGGGGCCGCCACTTCCGCTCCGCACGGTGCAAAGCCCTCGCCTCGCGACCGGGACGCCTCGCACTGCCACGGCCGAGAACTGAGGGTCGGTCTTTGGTTCTGAGGGCACCGGCAACTCTACCGCTATTGGGTTGGATCTTCAGACTTTAAACTTTTTGGATTCCCCTCGTATTTCCTTTTAACCGGCAAAAGTTATTTTTGTTTGCTGGGGGATCTACCGCACCCAAGGCAAGAGAATCAGCTTCCTACGAGTGGAAGGACCCTGAGGTGTTTTCTTAGTGCTTTCGGGGTTGACCCAGGTCTTCGTCAACTGGATCGCCCAGTTTCTTTCTTTTTTTTTTGTCGGACAAAGTTGCCCTAAAAAGCAGCCGCGGCGGCTGGGAAAAAAAAGCAGCAACTGGCGATTCGGGCACCCTGTTCTTGCTGCGATGGGTAAGGAAGGGGGAATCAACCTGGGGTTCCCGAATAAAGGACACCATCAGTTGGACATTGACATTCTAACCCATCTGGAAAGCCACAAAGGAAACCTTAAAAGAAATGGTTCGCTGATTTTGAGATAAGTTGAGGAATGGTTTTCACTTTTTGGGCTTGGGCCATGCAACCATGTAAATAGTAAACACAAAGTCTGGACATTTGGTTCAACTCAAGTGAGTGAATCCAGTCAAGTGAGTCAATGGGAGGCCCTGGTTAGCCAATAGGGGGCAGGGGTGGCCCATTGAGGAAAGGGTCGGTGAATCCAACTTATGGTTGGAGTATCCAACTAATCTGGGCAAGTTCTATCAAGCACCGATCCCGGGGTTTTGGTGAGGGGTTTCTTCCGAAGCGCGTCTATTCGGCACTGTAAACATTAAACACCTCAGTAGCCCATGTGGAGTGTGGCCAGAATTACAAGTATGGTCTTCCATTTGCTTCAGAATATTGTTTTACTTTCCCCTGTTGGTTTTAAGGGAGCTGAAAGGAGGGTTTGAGCGACCACTTTGATCTTGGGGAAGCCCCCTTGTCCATTTCCATGACTGTTTCTTACAGGGTAGCGCAGTTTGACCACCGCTCGCTTGTTCCCAAAACAGTTTCTAAAGGCCATTTTAGGTGATTCGTATCCGTGTATCGTACAATACTGCTCAGAAGAAACACCTTCACTTCAACCACGTTGGTAGAACCATCAGTCAATGAGCTTTGTGCGCCCTGTTTGGCGGCCTTGCCTGTTTGGTGATCTACGTTGAGTCAAGGCTAGGGTTACTATTGAGTTCCTGGTCGGTCACTCACCGTGCCCCATCCCAGGCAGAGCGGCCTCCTAGAAGCAACGAGGTTCGCAGACAGGCGAGGGCGCTTCTCCTCGTTCCGTCTGGTTTTAATTTGGGGCCAGCGGCTTGCCATTCGGAGTGCGCGCGCGTTTCGTAATGTGTCTTCCCCCATCTTTCCCCGCCAATAAATGTGGAAGCTGAAAGGGCCGAACGCCTTCCCCTTGACTGAACGAGCTTTTGCGAGGATACCGACAATGGAAGACCAACCACAACAAAAAGATCCCCCCATCCAGTGAAAGAGACCTGCCCCTTCTAGCCATCCCGAAGAAGAAGAGAAACAATGGCTTAGGCTGGTTCCACGGCCTGGGCGGGCTTGTGCCGCGATTTTTGGTTTGAGGTCCGTCCTCCAGTCCAGGCTGACTTCTTGGTCGTTGGGGGTCCCCTTCCAACGGCAACTGGACGATTTATGAAGTGCCCTTAGGCGTTGCAAAAAGTTCCGGTTCCATCCAGGATGCTCTGCTATGGATGGCAGGGAGTTGAAGGTTTCTTGGTTTGGAACCAAACCAAGGTTGCTCTTCCCCTTGCCACCTGGAACTTCAGGGCTTTCTCAGCCGAAGTCCCGCAAACTTTGTTCCTGCCAAACGTTTCGCGGCCTTACTTGCCGGTTCTCATATCAGCCTTTTGGTTTCCCGTTTGTTTTTCTGTTTGTCTAGGTCAGATTGCCAGGTGCTTACAGGTGAGCTTACCGACACCCGCATTTTTGTTTAACCTCTACGAAGATTCCCTAGTGTTTCGCCCTTGAACTTTGCCCAGAACGCGGAACTGGCTCCTTGAGGTTTGCCTTAGAACGGGTTGAGCGTTGGTTAATGGACTGAAGGCAACCCGCAAGCAGGCACACTCAGCTCCACCGCTTGCGGGGTGAATGGACTTGTGGACTTGTCTATTCACTTTTCAACTCCTTTCGTTCGCCCGGCATTTTATTTTTATTTTGCAGCTTCTTGTTGCCAGGTTTAGTCATCTTCGCCTAACAAGTTTGGCCATTCTCATCTTCAGCCGGCGGAGTTTCTCCGGTGGCCCTGGCCAGGCCGATGATGCCAAGGCCGAGGCTGGGGAGTGGGGAGTGTCGCATGGGCATGTTTTGGCATTTTTGGGCATTTTTGGGGCGGTTTGGGGCGAAATCACCCATCCAAGCCAGCCATTAGGAGGCTGAAGCACCCATCCAAGCCAATCAGAGGGAGGCTGCTGCAAGTTGGCAAGCAACCTGTAGTGGGGCTCAAAGTTGAGAGACAGTCATCCAGAGATCTTCCTGTTTCGAAACCCACTCCCAGGGGAGAGAGTGGGAGCCAATTCTGATTTTTTGGAGGGGTGACCATTTTTAGAGGCTAGGCCCCCCAGTAGTGCCCTTTTACCAACTTTTTTGGGGGAGGGGTCCCCTACTAATAGACGACAGCAAAAAGTTGGTACCCTCCTTCTAACCTCTCTACTGGAGGACCTAGAAGAAGAAGCGGTGGTTTGCTTTCCTGTTAGAACGGGGGGGAGGTCGCCAGCTTCCCTTTTTTTTTTCTCGGCTGGCAGTTGCTCGCGTGGCAGGCGGTTTTTTTTTGTTTAGGGGGTGCCGAACTGGCTTCAGCGCTTTCCAGAAAGTGAGTGGCATGTTTGATGTTCTTCTTCTTTCCTCCAGGGGATCTCTTCGTGGTGCCTGTGCTCAATGCTGGAGCCCTCTGGGCAATACGGAAGCAGCTCTCAAAGGGGCAATCAACCTTTTCGTACAATGGAGTTCATGGAAGCTGGGGGGGAGGGAGGGGAGGGGAGGGGAGGGAGAGGGGCGGGGAGGGAGGGAGGGAGGGAGGGAGGGAGGGAGGGAGGGAGGGAGGGAGGGAGGGAGGGAGGGAGGGAGGGAGTCCAAATAAGCCAATAACGCCTTACTTGGGTTTGTTTGCGCTCCTCCCCCCTCTCCCTCCCCCCAGCCCCCATGACACCTGTTTGTTTTAAGCCCGTGGCAGTCGTCCCCCAAAGAATTTCGCCAGCGATCCAGGGGCCAGCGAAGATCTCGGCCGCTTGGAATGAGCTCGGCTCGCCGGGGGGGGGAGGGCTGTCGAAACAGGGGGGGCGGGGGGGGTGTCCCATTGTGTGCCCTGTGCGGAAGAATTGCCTGATATGAAACTGACCAAGAAATTACGAATAGTCTAAAAAGTCTAAAACACATGGGACATCGCCTGGCATTTATGGCAAGACAAAGCCTGAGCAATGTCTCCTTCTACGCGGCTATGGGGAATTCATGGGATGTGCAGATGTACAAGGCTGCGCTTTACCTTCAAGGCAAATCACCGCTTCCTCTTGCTGGAAGTTGGCAAGCCAAACGTTTAAGATTTCTCCGAGCCCGCAATTGACAAGCACAAGGGGAAGACATTGGGGTTTTCAATCCAATGAATCCGAGACATGGCAAGGGGAACCATAGGAGGGTTTTGGCCCTGAATGGCGCTGTGTGGCCCCTGATGGCAACTATTCGTCAGCAAAAGCCACCATTAGGTTGCAGTGACTCCCCTTGGCATGGCTCTGAATCAGTGTTTGGGCGTGTCTTCTTTTTTTTTGGGGGGTACTCTTTTTCTCTGTTGCATGTTGCTTGGATGCTAGGACTTTAACAACTTTTCGCCAACTACCGGGTTTTCCATCAAGCCACTAAATGTTAAACTGTTAAACTCTTAGCAGGGGCGCACCTTTGAGGTTTACAGGGAAGCCCAAAATGACCACCAACACCATGTATACGAAGGCCCCTCGAAAGCGCAAGCTTTCCGAGGATCTCTTCGAGTCCTGCCTTAGCCTTGGCCAAGCCCGCGGGGGGGGGGGGGTGGAAGGGACGCCTGTGGACTTTGGGCTTGATTGAACAGGGCTCCAAAAGAAATTCATCTTGCAACCATTTGAACCATGTTGCTTTTTCAACACCAAATTAAAGTTGGAATCCCATCATTTACAAGTTGCAATGTTCAGGTGTATAATGCATCCGGATCCCTGTTGAAAGCCACTCAAGGTTTCCTAGCCATTTCCCTTTTTGGGTTGACTAAAGTGGCCATGTCAAGGGAAACCATCGATCAGTTGATCAAGCTAAGGGTAAATCCAGTGACCCCTGCCACCCTGGAGGCAAATAAGAAGTTTTGCAGCCGCCTTCTTAATTCTTTACATGGTTCTGGGCAGACCGTTTCAATACCGAGTTTTGATGATAACACGTGTGGGGCAATGATTTTCCTATCAGCCAGAGGCGAACTTCCTGCCCCGAATTGGTGACAGAACATTGCCCGGCTTAGCTTGTCCTTTGATTTGTTTTGCTTTTCGTTTCCCCTTAGTCAGCATTTGGCAGAGGGCCTAAGGTTGCGCAGCTGTTGCCCACCGTCCGGCAAACAACAGCTTGATGGCCCTGTTGTTTTGCCCCAAGAAAAAAATCGGCCTCGCAACATGCCAAAATGTGTTCTTGTTGGTTTCCTTCATGGTTCGACCAAGAGTTGGACTACCCCAACAAAAGCGAACCACACCCAACTGTGACTCATGGTTCCCTCATATTCCCTCATAAGGTGGGACCTCTTTTGTGGGAGTACTTGCCTTCCGAAGGGTTCGCCCTTGACCCAGAATCTGAACAGCATCCTGCACCAGGGATTGATAAAGCCCTGTAGATTTCCATATCATCCCGGGGTTGTACAAAAATATTCCTGGGCCCCAAAAGGTCATGGGTAGCTTTTCCCATCATAAAGGTCACCTTCCTTGGTCCCTAATCAGTCAGAGGTAAAGGAGCTTTGGACCAACCCCTCCATTTCTCTTGCAAAGCTCGGAGGTGAAGCTGGCGGTCTTTTTCAGCTTCAGAAAGCGGTTTGGAGATGCGCCTTTTGTGGATTTCACGCCGTTTTTCTTTCTGTTGGCCCCTGTTCAGTGCTGTTTTAAAGTAGCCTTTGAGATATATCCTGCATGGGTGGACCCACAGCTTCGCCACACCCCAAACCGTTTTCTAAGCTCTCCATCCCTGAGGCAATTCAGTGGCCGATGCGGAGACGGCCACAGGGTCCCGGGCCCTGTCCAAGAGCTCGGAGGCGAGTCCGAGAGTTGACGCCCGGAAGTTTCGACCGACACGGGGCAGGCTGTTTCCAGGTCCCCCAGTGGTGCCCGTTTTGAATCCATTTTTTTTGGGGGGGGTTCCCCTACCAAAATAGAGTACAGAAAAAAGTTGGGTACCCCTCTAAGCTCTCAAATCTGAAAAACCTAGGAGTTTGAGACACCCAAAAGGCGATTTGGGTACGAGTCGAAAAGCCAGGAACTCGACCGGGTTTGGTCCGTGGTTCCATTTACAATTTATGGGTACCCATTTTTGACCCACAGCCATTTCGGCTTGGGGCATGCAGGCATTTACAATTTATTGGTACCCATTTTTGACCCACAGCCATTTCGGCTTGGGGCCTGCAGGAATTTACAATTTATTGGTACCCATTTTTGACCCACAGCCATTTCGGCTTGGGGCCTGCAGGAATTTACAATTTATTGGTACCCATTTTTGACCCACTGCCATTTCGGCTTGGGGCCTGCAGGAATTTACAATTTATTGGTACCCATTTTTGACCCACTGCCATCTCGGCTTGGGGCCTGCAGGAATTTACAATTTATTGGTACCCATTTTTGACCCACAGCCATTTCGGCTTGGGGCCTGCAGGAATTTACAATTTATTGGTACCCATTTTTGACGCACTGCCATTTCGGCTTGGGGCCTGCAGGAATTTACAATTTATTGGTACCCATTTTTGACCCACAGCCATTTCGGCTTGGGGCCTGCAGGAATTTACAATTTATTGGTACCCATTTTTTACGCACTGCCATTTCGGCTTGGGGCCTGCAGGAATTTACAATTTATTGGTAAACATTTTTGACCCCCAGCCATTTCGGCTTGGGGCATGATATGGGGGCACGTGAGAAAAGGACGCCCAAACCGGGTCGCTGGAGCATGCGGTTTGAACAATAATGCTTTAACAGAGGGGCCAACCCTGCACCCGCCCCAACGCTGCCCGTAGCCTTATGGCTCTAAAAGGTAATCATTTGGTGCTTCCGGATCCTTTCAAGCGAGATGTTGGGGGGCGTCTTTTTTTTTTGCGGGAAGCCAAAAAGAAATCCGATGCCATTTTGGGGGCATCCCTTGCAAGACGAATGTTTTTCCAGGGATCCCTCAAGACGGGTTCCCGACAGGAGAAGCGCTGCTGAAATGAGTTCGATACTTGAGACAAAAAAGGCTAGATGTCAGATGAGTGTTTCTCAGAATGGCCCCGAATCGAAGTGCGGGTTTTATTGGGTTCCCTGCTGTAGCCGACCAGAAGGGGTCCACCCTTTGGAGAAGCCCCCTCCCCCACTCCGCGCTCAGCGCGGCACAGGAGCAGGCGCCGTTCGTCAGGCGCAGGAGGCGGGGGGGGGTCGAGGAGGCTGGTGGGGAGTGGGGGCAGCGGCGGCCGTGTTTGAACTCTGATTAAGTTTGTATACATAGGTGTCCTTTTTGGTTGTTTTGGTAGAAAAATAGATGGCCCTGGTTTACCTGGTGGTTTAATCATCTACCAGGGCCATCTATTTGCCCTAAAAGGACACCTATGTTTGTATAGTTTCTGTGAATGTGGCAGTTACGCTTGTGGCAATTTCTTGACATGAGCTGAGATGGGGGTGGCGCCAGAAGGGAGAAAACCTAGGCCAGCTTCCTTCATGGGTGCAAGTGGGGGCCGCCCAACCCCACCGGAATGCTGCCTAGATGGTCAGCAAATGCTATTATCCATGGAGCCAATAACTCGCTTCCCATGCTTGCAAGTGCGTTCTAGCAGAGTCCGCCTAGCTCAGTAAAGACCATCTCATGGGCCGATGGCCTGTTACGGGGTTGGGCCTTGGTTTCCCGCGAGCCAGGGCTTGGTTCAAGCATCT